AATGTTTTTAAACAGATCTTTGTTCATGTTATAGCTTCTCGTGCTAATGTTTTTAAACAGATCTTTGTTTGTGTTATAGCTTCTCGTGCTAATGTTTTTAAACAGATCTTTGTTTGTGTTATAGCTTCTCGTGTTAATGTTTTTAAACAGATCTTTGTTTGTGTTATAGCTTCTCGTGCTAATGTTTTTAAGCAGACCTTTTTCGTGTTATAGCTTCTCGTAATAATGTTTTTAAATTATTTCTCAACAAGAAGCATATAGCGACTGTTAACCTACGCTTGTGTAGTGCTGGGGAATGGTAATTTAGAATTCTAGTACACTGAATGGCTCGTGACCAAAAGTGCTTTATTATTAACTTTACTAGGTTGAGTCTACATTTAGTAAAATGATTCCCGATGACGATCATAATTTATTGAATCAGGAACTAAAAGGACACCTGATAAAGTATTCCTTGCACTATCTTTTCATACGTCACGCGTTTACAGAGGGCGGATCCTCCAGTGCACACGGACCATACTTCAACCGTGCGTACCTAATTAGTCGAACATCCGGAGTCCTAAATCAGATGGGGTGGTATCATCACAGAATCATGCAACACATTATTACGACTTTTTTCGTACCGCCAGAGGGCAGCATTCGTGGTCTTACACGAATTAAAATGTTAACTTTGTTCCGATATCTAACAATAGCTATAAAACAGGAATTTACTCTAGGGCATACCCATCACAGTAACAAGCTTTCCTCACCACTTAACTTTACTTACTTCTCTTAACAGCATCATAATTTTCCTGCAAGCGACTGTACTTATAATTCCTTGTTTCAAGGTGACAAGAATTCGGCTCGGACTCCTAGATAATGGGGAACAAAGTACATGCTCGTGTTTTGAGCTCCTGGAATTCAAAGAGTTTATCACCAACGTTCAGTTATTTGGGCGGCTTTATCATTTTCTTTCAAAAACAACATTAGTAGCTTCAAGACAGTTCTGACTTAGATCTTTTTAATACACCCGAACTTTTGTCTCTTAATGAACATTAGAATACGTGAAACATAAATATGTGCAATAAGTGGAAGTTTGATAATCCTAAATTGCCCTTGATACATTGAACTGTTTTCACGTGAATAGCAATCAACAGAATTTGATATTCCTAAAGTGCCCTTGATACATTGAACTGTTTTCACGTGAATAGCAATCAACAAAATTTGATATTCCTAAAGTGCCCTTGATACATTGAACTGTTTTCAACGTGAATAGCAATCAACAAAATTTGATAATCCTAAAGTGCCCTTGATACATTGAACTGTTTTCAACGTGAATAGCAACCAGCAGAATTTGATAATCCTAAAGTGCCCTTGATACATTGAACTGTTTTCAACGTGAATAGCAGCCAGCAGAATTTGATAATCCTAAAGTGCCCTTGATACATTGAACTGTTTTCAACGTGAATAGAAACCAGCAGTAGTTG